ATACTTATTCAATTTAATCGAAATAAACCCAATTTGAATCAGTACACTTTTGCTAACGTAACACATATCGATTGATTCCATCAGCATAAATGGGTGCTCGGGATTCGATGAACTTGACGAAGGACTTTTTGCCTGGTCCTGATTGGCAAAGGTTCTAACGGCGAAAAAGTTATCGAAGTTCTTTAAAATATAGTAGTCGGTTGGCGAGAGGTCTAGAAAGTATGATGGGTGAGGCAGAACTACGACGATCAATTCGTTTAATTTTCAGACGGTGATTTGAGAAACGTGCGGTCGGACGTTGACGAGAAGCAGGATCAGAGCTTTTCTTTGATCAGTGCAGGCTACTGCTGACGCAGTATAAACATTGTTTCTTCGATAATAAATTGTTATCATTATTATTATTGCAAAAAATAGAGAATCAGTTGAATGAATTAATATTGGAATTGAAATAAAAATTGTTTTACGCCACCTACGAATTACTACAAATATGAATAATTACCTTAGACCTGAAAGAAGTAATATCACGATTAGATTTGATGAAACGAGAAAACTTACTGAATCTTTGTTACTATGCTATAATTCCAAAATAGTAGGCACTAAATTCTCAGAAAGTTTCTTTGGTGAATAAACCACGTTGTACATTATCCTATGACCATTTAGCTGCGTGTGCATGATTTGAATTGAAGATGATAAAATATATAGAATCACAACAAAAATGTTGACAAAAATGTTTTTGTTTTAATGCAATAATATAGAATTTTAATATAGCCTGATTAGTTGGTGGAAAGTATACCATATGGCGAAGGCGCCGATGATATGATGCATACCTAAATCAATTCGCAAATGAATTATAAACAAATAAGCAGTATTCAAAAAGTTCAAAGAGTTAATACAAATTTCCGCCCAATTCACTCATTTGATTTAAAGTGAGATAAATTTCATTATTATCAAATTACTTTCAAGTTGATACACTTGTCAACTCAATATTTCACCGAGACACAATTCGAATTAACTGAAATTGCTGATGAAGGGATTAGAAATGATCCTTGATGAAGGTCTCTGAATATTGAAAATTCACGGCGAACGGCACGTTAAAAAGCTCTTCGATAACCTAGACCTCAATAGCATTGATAATAAGAACTGAAAAGCCTCTTGACATGAATCTTTTACGCTCTTAACCACTAGTGGTTGTATGCCGAGATTTTTTAAATTCAGAATGAAGTTTCCGTTTTGAATCGAATACTCATAAAAGAAGATCTATAATTTAGGTCACAAATTATAGTATTAGAATTATTTAGATTTTTAGCAGGTAGTATACGCAAGTAGGTAATAATAACCTTGTGATGCACTGTTTGGAACCTTTGGTGTATTAATGAATATTACCGGCGTTTTTTTCCCAAAACCAAACCGTTATTTTAACACCTCAACACGTGTTTCGATCACCAAGTGATCATCTTCAAGAGGAAGATCATAACTGCAGATCACCAGTTCTGATCTGATCACTTGGTGATCGAAACACGTGTCGAGGTGTTAAAATAACGGTTTGGTGTTAAGAAAAAACTCCAGTAATATTCAATAATAACCTTGTTGATTCGCTTTTTTAGAGCTAACAAAAGTATTCCAAAGTATCGAATGCATTTGTTGTTTCTTCTGAATTTATAATAAAAAAATCACAATCACAAAATCACAAAAATGGACTTTCCCACTAATGTGTCAAATTGAATAGAATCTTACAGCGAAAAACGTAGTTTGGTGTTCAATTGTTGAACTGAATGTTTCTCAAGGATCTGTCCTTTGTCATTCCTGATTTTTATTATTGATTTTTATGATTATATCAATCAGTTTGTCACATTTCTGATCTGATTTAGATCGTTGAAAATAATTGAATAGAACTGGCCGATACTTGATGAAAATCCGTATTAAAACTCAATAATAGAGTTTATTGTATGATTTTCACTATAAAGGGTTTTACAAAAACCGCGACACGTGTTTCGCTATAAAATAGCTTTCTCAAGCGTTAATAATTAACGCTAAGTAAGAGTTAATATTCTGGCAAACTAATGAATTAACTGTCTTAAACAAATTTATTTCCAACAGTATTTCATTAATCCCAAACTAATTTATTTATTACAACACTTAGCAATCAACACTTGATTTATTTCCGCTATTCGAATTTCTTGTTTAGCCGCTCGATTCACTTTCTAAACTGCCCTCTTGGGTCGGGAAAACGGGCTTATATCGGTAAAGGTCCTTTCGAGAATTCTGTGGAAGATTCGGTACTCGTCTAGAATTTTACCGGTGGTCCCAGACTGGATTATATCGAGGTGAGGTCATGTGCTTGTTCGATGAGTCGGCTGGCGTATCAGTTCAACCGGTCAGAGGCGGCTTCAGATTCGTTACAATATCAAGCGTTAATAATTAACGCTAATTAAAGCTATTGTAAAGCGAAACACGTGTCGCGGTTTTTGTAAAACCCTTTATAGTAAAAATTATACAATAAACTGTATTAATGAGTTTCGATGAATTCTGTTATTTTGAATAAAGGCCAAGTAAGTATTGACGTAGTCATTTGTTAGGAGACATTTCAGTTATGATTTATTCACATTGAGTATCCTAACGTCCCACGCTGCAGGGCAGTAAATTGACATAACTTTGTTACCATTCTCTGAATGGTATAACTCTAAATATAGTACCGGAGGCAATAAATCTTGGCTTGATGTTGGATAATAATTTCAGGTTCAAAAAGCAAGTTTCATTATATATCCAGAGAGCTTACGCGAACTTAAGATTAATTTACCCCCACCGAGTATACCTAAATACTCAGACAAAAACCAATTTATGCCAGACTCTCATCCCTTCACAGTTCACCTACTGTTCACCTGTATATTTTTCCTGTTTGGATAGTCTATATTTATGCAGGATACAAAAAGTCAAAAATTCCTGTTTACGCTACATCTATGGCATCCGTAAGTTCCAGCATATTTCTCATACGCTTTCTCAGTCGCAATGCCTGTCAATGAAGAATCGTTTCTTATTGCAATCTCTAACCTTATGTCACAATATAATCATCAACAAACCACCGCAGTATCTTTATGATAAAGTTCAATTTCGTGAAAATGAACATGAAGTGAATATCCGACACAAAAATACAATAACTGCCACCCACCATAGCACAGCACTGTTTGAGAGATCGTTCAGTTTTTCCATCTAGACTCATTACAATAGTCTTTCCACACATCTAAAAAAAATTGAAACTGCCACTTTTTGAGCTTCAGGCTCGTAACTGGCTATATGAAAGACAGCTATCGTGCAACTAAAGTCTCGCATGAAATGCAAAAATTCAAGTTATTCTGTAAGAATTATGAATCACCCCTCTTTTATTCCTTTTATTTTTTCTCTCTCTCTTAATACATAGGTACTATAATTTTTTATACATCATAATATGAACATATCATGTTCGATGAATACTTTCAAGTTTTGTATACTGTGAAGGAGTTGAATGGAAGAGCAGGATTCGGCGTGTTGCACACGCTTGTCTCCTGAATTCCGCTCCGGGATTTTACCAAACCCATTATATATACAGGGTGTAACTGAATAAGTGTTAAACAACACTAAAATATAAGTGATGCTCAGCACAATATATTAGGGGTGAAAGTTGCTCCCAAATCAGTAACCATTTTTTAAATTGACGCGCATAGAACAAAAATAATTGTTTCGAGTTCTATTGCGTTAATAAAGACTCCCAATGATAGATTTTTAAAAAATCTTCCATGTACAGACTACATCATTGAAGTTTATCTTTTGCACAACAAAAAATGTCGAAGATACTATGCGCTTCATTTTTCTGTGTCAGTAAAACCTTCGACGTTAACTACTTTTTGAATCTGAATCTAATTGTATCTTTGGCAACTATTTGGAAAAGTTTCAAAAATACTACCTCCTATTAAAATTTTCTAGATAACAGAAGTAAAAAATTAGCATTAAAATAATAACGTAATATAAATGAAATGATGAAAAATTTCAATTCATAAATTTTTATTTGAAAACCGAGCAAACATCGTTTTTTGTTTCTCGCATAACCTTATTCGACAATATTTCTCGAGATGGCGTCATAGTGCCGCCATATTGAATTTAGAGAAAATGGCTCCTACGGCGCCCTTTTGAAAGGAGGTGGTCACTTGTTGAAGAGAGAATTTCATATTCTATGGAATGGTTCCATTTTAAACGTTCTTTTCCGGTTGAACCAAAATAGGTTATTACTTGTTAAAATATTAGAAATATCGTCTCCAAAAAACTATAGTACTTTCGGTATTGTCTGGGAGTGAAAGAAATTCAAGAATGCAAACATGCTGGTACATTAAAGAAACCATCATAGTCGTCTCAAGCAAGTGGCACTGCAATTCATCCACAAAGTCACCGAGCCATTAAAATAGTGACTTGCGACAAAGAACTTCAAAAGAGGCGGCCGACGCTGATGGATGCAATGTGTCTGTTGAAGATATAATTCAAAGGAATATCTATTTATACCGCCTTCAAAAAAAAACAAGTTTTTTCAATCCCCTCCCACTAAATACTTATCTAGATATACTTCTGTAGTTTCTCTCATTTCTGGACAGACTATATATGTTTATTCCACCAGCCAGGAAACATTATCCTGATCCTCTTAGGTGACCTGTAGCCATCCAGGCCGGATGGTGTATGTCAGCTGTCTACCTGAGAAAACAGATTCAATCTTGCAGCTCTTTCTTGCCTCGTATTTATGGTGAATCATCGTTTGAGCATTAGCGTTTGCTGATCTATTCAGGTGGATTTTGTTTCCTCTGCATCTGCCGCCCAAGAATGCAAAGCAGATTCATAAGGCATGGGATATTAAAGGATTGATGATATGGGGATACAGCAGTTGATTGATGGAAAGGAGAAAGTTGCAGCACCCACAAAAGATTCCTTTTCTCCCTTTCGAAAATTAATGAAGAGTGTAATTCTCAAAATAAAAAAGCCTACTGAATAAATCATTTATTTTGTAACAACAGTCAAACATTTCGAAACATATAATGTTGATAATTGTCATTCAAAAAATCTATATAAATGTTGAACCCCAGGAAATAACCATTCACATGACTGGAAGGTGATGTCTATAAATCTGTGATGACGGAAGAATTTTGGATCAAAATATTAATATGGAATGCAAATCTGAATATCTTCAATCATGTTCTCTAGTCAAGTAACTGCTATACAAGGCCAAAAATAACTCAAGGCTTCATTAATTACAAAAACAAATCCTGTTAGCAATAAATGGTAGATAAATGGTAAATAAATGGTACAGAAACACTTACATTAAAAAAACGAACAAAATCGAATTGTTACAACAGCAAAACAAGAGACAACAAAAAAACATATTCTACAAACAGGAGTTCAATACTAGAATTTGTATTTGAAATTCATTCGCACAAGGTATTTCACATTAACTTGGGCTACGTCGTATACAATATATCTGAAAAAACGTTAAGGAAAACGTAAGAGGGGGTAGAAAGTCAAGTACTAATTTTTTAAATGAATGTTTTTCCAATTATAATGAGGTATACGAAATTATATTAAGTGAATTCGGAAATCCTAATATATACGAAAATTTTGCAGACTACGTACATTCGATTAAAGATTTTTTTTCAATTTTTTCATGTTGATACACTTGTCTCGAAAATATGTTCACAGTTTCAGCTGTTTAGCATGTTTAGTTTATTGGTGAGAGACATAAAAGTGGGATAAAAATTGTAGTTAAACATTGAAAACAAAAAAAATTAAATGCATCACAAACATCCTAATTGGGTACAAAAATGGGAATGCGATCTGCGCCCCATAAGCCTGCTACTAACTTGTTCAAAAGTATTGGAAAAAAAAATGAGTTTTCAAATCAAATGCTATTTAAATTCCTTTAATATTTTACCAATCAACCAGTCAGGATTTCGTAAAGAACACAGCTGTACAACTGCTCTCTTGAAAATAACTGATAATATTTTCGAAGTTGCTGACAAAGGTAACATGACTGCTTTAATACTTATAGACTTCTCTAAGGCTTTTAATCTGTTTGAATCTGTTTGAAATCTGTTTTTCCGTTAATCAGCTGTCACCCCCATACGAACGACAACTCTCAGAAGTTGAGAAACTTGTGCGAGCTAAGGACCAACGAGGTCTTACCTTTTAACGTGTGATTCCTAACACGGTTGCAGAATCATCCCCGCTACAACCAGATAAATTCTCTCGAGAAAAATATCTGGTCGAGGCGGGAATCGAACCCATGATCTTCCGATCGTAAGTCGGGCGCATGATATCATTAGTTATCCAATTTTATTTGCAATTTTGAACTTCATCGGGTTCTCAGAACCTGCTATAAATTTAATTAAAAGCTATTTTAAAGATCGTTCACAGTTTGTAGAAACTTCAAAGGGAAAATCAAGCAGCAATTGTATTAAATTTGGTGTGCCTCACGGATCTATACTTGGACCCTTATTATTTTGCGTATACACTTGTGATCTAGTCTCTGTTTTAAGACACTGTAATTCACATATGTATGAGGATGACACACAACTATATCTATCATTTAACCCTGATGAAGTTGCTACTACTAATTGAAAATTTAATGAAGATCTAGCTCATCTTATTTCAGCATCTGAAGCTCATTATCTCAAAATCAAATCAAACAAAACTAATTTGCTTGTTTTTGGTACTAATCGTAGCTTGGTGGAAAGATATATTAATATTGTTATTGGTGATACAGTAATATGCCCCACCAAAGTGGCAAAAAATTTAGGTATCGAAATGGACGTGAATTTAAGATATACAAAACATGTCACAAAATGTGTTCAAAGAAGTTACATGAGTTTGAAAATGATTTTTTCTCATCGTCATTTATTACCAATAAGTTTGAAAATAAAATTAACAAATGCGCTTGTGTTGAGTCACTTTGCATATTGTGATGTTGTGTATGGTTCATGCCTGGATAAAAAAGACATTCTTAGAATTGAAAGAGTTCGAAAATCATGTCTCAGGTATGGTATATGGTATTAGAAAATATTACAGAATTTCATATGAACTTAAGGAAACCAATTGGTTAACTATGGAAAATAGACGTGTTTTACACTCGGCTACCCTCTTCCATAAAATATTAATTAACAAGTGTCCATCATATTTGTATAACAAAATAAGATTTCGTAGCGATGTACATACTTTAAATTTGAGGTTTGAAGGGTTATTTTCTCCCCCACCCCATCGAACCACTCTATATAGACGATCCTTCAGTTATTTTATATATAGTTTGTAAAATAATAATCCACAAAAATATGAAGTTGGTTAAGTTTCCTTATTTAAGTGCGGTTACAAAAAATATCTCATCTCTGCTCAATCAGAAAGTCACTGATTTCGTAGATTTTATACTACTGAAAAATGTTCAGTGATATTTTACATGTTTTTTCTCCCTCTTCCCTCTCTCTCCTTTGTTTTTTTTTCCTTCTCTTCCTTTTTCTTTGTTTTTTCTCTAGTTTAGTTTTATTTTCTTCAAGGTAGAACTAAGATCAACAGTACCCTTCTGGTACATGTTGTTTCTAGCCTCATTTGTAGTTTTTTTCATAATTTTCATAGATTGAATAAATATTGTATTTATATGTAATAAGGAACTACAAATAAATATTATTATTATAACTTTCTAGTGGATCTAACCTGACCATAAATCTACAATAACTTTCAAAATTCAATCACCCGTAATCTAATTTTTGAAGGAAACGTCTACATTTTGGTTTAGATGATCAACATTTCAAAAAAATAAATTCTATACAAGAACAAAATTTTCAAGTGAAAGGATACTCGTTATACATCAAAACAGTGTCAGCTGAACTGGGATTGGGAACTCCTTTACCCAATGGTACTTCAATTCCATTTATTGTTTTACTGGTTTTGGGATCCGGGTGAGTCCTACCAATACCCATACAACTGTGCATTCCTGGTGGTAATTTTTGAATCATTTCAGCTTTCTTCAGTTCAAACATCTGCAAAAAGAAAAAATTTCAAATGTTTGCAACAATAAACGTTTTCTTTTTTTAAGATAATATCATAAGGGATGTTTCTCATGATGAAATTGACATAATTAGTTTGTTTGATATTATACCAATTAAATTATCATATATGTTATGGACATTTTTTGACATTGAATCCAAAGGAAATATTCATTATGAAAAGACGTGATTATTACTGGAGTTTATTCTTAACACCAAACCGGTATTTTCAACACCTCCACACGTGTTTCAATCACCAAGTGATCATCTTCAACAGGAAGTTTGATCTTTCTCCAATAGAGGAAAGGTTCTGGGGAGTTATCTTGATTCTTTCTTCACAAACATTGCCGATTGAAACATTGGCGATTGATTACATCAAAAATCATTTAAATATGAACAAGGGAGACTTGAGTTATTTGTGATTACAGATCCACTGAACAGCAAAAATGAAATGTATGATTCTAACTTTTGGCAAAACGAAGTGAGGATGAAAAATTTGATTTCAGAATGTTTTTCAAGTCAGTAGAAACAAAGGAGCCCATGATAATTATTACAAACACTAGCAAAATTCCCCACCCAAATGTAAAAATGTATGGAAAATAATGTACTACACTTATGAACAATGAAACTCCAAAAATATTCTGTGTTACAAACTATCATCTATGCCCTGAATAATACAGAAATCAGGTCATTTTAGGTGTCTATGACGCTGACGCTGCTATGTCCTATATATTGTTTTTATGACAATAAAGATTATTATCATACTCACATTTCCCAGAGCAACATCACAGAGCAACAATAATCCCTTGGGGCTTCCAGTACTGGTACAACAATAATTAGCTGATTTGGACACCATATCAGCAAAGTATATACCTTTGCCAAACATGTACCCCGTAACTGGAGCTTCGGGAGGGGCAATTCTCAAGCCCTGAGATAGAATTCCAGCAAAATTTGTCACCCGCGAACCGTGCCACAACAGTCTGTGATTGTGTAACTTGCGGAAAGGCTTGAATCTCTTGTCTTCTCCTTGTCGTTCAACGGTATACACCTCCTCTACTTCAAGCTCATAATTATTATGGGTGGCTGCGTGCGTGTTTTTGACATATTCTTTTATGATGGCAAACTCTTCAGAATTGTGATCCATAACACCTATTTCGGCATTCAACTGATTGTAATAACTGTCGACAGTATGTTCGTTGCCAGAAGTTTTCATCAAGTTGTAAGCTATTTCTAATTCCATCAAACTGTCAAGCATTTCTAATTTTTTCTGAAAAAGAAAAATGAGTTTGAAGTTGTAGTATGCCACAAAACTTTAGACAATTTCTGAATGTTCGACAATGAAGGCTAAAATTTGAGACAACAAAATGCAGACTATTAGGTCGTGGCCAAAAGGAACTTGTAGTACCAAACTTTTCATGCAGGAACATCTTCAGTTGTGTAATGCTTTTACTGCTAGGACGAAGGTAGTATCTCAAAGTCTCAGTAACGGCTGACTGGGAAGTCCTGTGCTTACTCCTATTCATATTGTTGACAGGTATACTACTTGTAGGGTGTCGATCGGAGTTGAATTTTAGTCAAATTCTGACCTTCTTGAGAACCAGATACCAGGTTCTATTGACTCGTGTATGTTTTCTTTGAAATTGTTGGAAAGTTTATGGATCTCAATGGCTTCCCTATGAAGTCGAGTGGGATAATGCATTGTATCAGATAGGACTGCTGTTTCAGCTGGAGAAATCCACAATAGCAGAACATGTTCTAGCAGAAACTGGCCACGTAATAAAATACAAAAAAACACATACACCACTAAACATGTCTACTGCAGTAGCAGATGAAACTTTCGATTCATGTTCCTTCAGACCCAGTCCTAATGCCCAGATTCTGCTGTCACTATATCGTGCTTCCAACCATGAAAGCAAAAGCTTACTTTTATTGTTTCTGGATCAGTCAAAAGTGGAGGATCATCTATGCCAAAAGAATGTGGGATAAAGGTATAGAATCTGTTTGTAGCATCTATGAAGCGAGCTTGATCAGCTTTTTTATCTATAAGCTGCAGTAGCTCATTCAGTACTCCAAATGCTTTCTGTATTTGAGACTTACTTAGTTTACCTGTAACAAAATCAAACTTTATTATTGCGAGATTTTCCCTAAAAAGTTTTACAGAAACGCAATACATGTTTCGCTATATCATAAGCTTCTTCAAGTGTAACTCTCAATAGTATTTATGATAGAATTTATTACGGATCTAACTTTTATTCTCACAGTCTCACAGCTGAATAACAAAAAACTCAAAATAAATTTGCCAAAACTGCTACCTTACCTAAAGGCATTTTCTCAGTGTCCAAATCAAACTCTAACATGAGTTTTTTCATTGAATTGACATTGAAAATCATCCTGATCAGATCCTGGACTGGTTGCGCTAATTTCGATTCTGTTGTAACAATATCCAATTTTTCAGTTTCTTCTTCCCCATAATCAACATCGATAGGATACATTCTGCCAGGAACTTTAACGAAATGATGCCGCATTTCCCACATGTTTCCAGATTTTTCTTCGTACAGGGCCATGAACTGACTTTTTGCTTCTTGGAGTGTATTCATCTTGGTGGTTTGTTGACCTAGTGCAATATGAAACGTCATTAGACTATACAGGGTATTCCAAGTCAAGTCGGCACCATTGCCAACTCCGTTATTAAATAAATATTATTGGAGTTTTATCCTAACACCAAATCGTTATTTTCAATACCTCGACACGTGTTTCGATCACCAAGTGATCATCTTCAAAGAGGAAGATTAAAACTATTAATTAATTAATAGATTAGATTAAAACTATAAGTGGTGTGATGCAAACAGACTGGCATTCAATACCACAAAAACCTGCATACTGACCTTTAAATGTATATTAAATGAAATTTTTCTAGGGAATACTTTAATTAGCTTCGTCTCATCAAGTAAATTCTTGGGTTTGCATGTAGATAATAATTTATCCTTTGATATCCACATCTCTAATCTATGTAAGAGGATGGCTTCGGGATGCTATGTTTTAAGGGTTATTACCAGAGAACTCAACTTGCAAGCTGCAAGAACAGTCTATTTTGCGGTAATAGAATCCCGCCTAAGATATGGAATTTGCTTCTGGGGTAATGCTTCTCAGTTCTTGTTACAGTCTGTGTTTATCTTACAAAAGAGAGCGGTTAGATATATTTGTAAGGCAAAACCGAGAGATTGCTGTAAACCCTTGTTTATTGATCAAAAAATCTTGACTCTGACATGCATTTTTATCCTTGAAAGTGTGTGTATGATGCACAAAAAATTTAATACTACCAGTGATTCAACAAACTCTTATAATACTAGGCATAATAGCCACTTAATAGCACTACCCATTCCTAAAAGCGCATTAATAAAAAAATGCATAATATACAATGCAAGGAAAATGTTCAATCATTTGCCAGTATATCTTCGCTCCACTTCTTCATATAAAAATTTTCGAAGTGCTGTAAAATGTTTTTTGCTAAATAAAGCTTTTTATACTTTAGACGAATATTATAATGAAGATTTTGACTAACATTGCAATCACTTGTATACGCACTTTATATTATTTTACTTGGTTTTATTATTTTAAGGTGTTTATTTAATTTTGAATTGATCCCTTTGTGTTACATATGTATATGTGTGTGTGTGTGTGTGTGTGTGTGTGTGTGTGTGTGTGTGTGTGTGTATATAGATATGTATATATAGAAATACATAAATGTATTTCTAAACTTTGTTAACAAGAATTCTGTTCTTTGGACAATAAAGTTCTTTCTCTCTCTCTCTCTCTATTAATTAATTAATCTTCCTCTGAAGATGATCACTTGGTGATCAAAACACGTGTCGAGGTGTTAAAAATAACGATTTGGTGTTGGGAAAAAACTCCAGTAATATTCATTACTACACCAAAGGTTCCAAACAGTGCTTCATAAGAACCCGTTATTATTGATGCTACGAATTCGGTTAGATGGGCAAACTAGTAGCATTTTCAATGGCCTTCACAATGCCAAAAACAAAAAAAATTAACAGTCGCGTTTTGAAAATATTTCATCAAATGGAACATCCTGTATTTTATCATGTATTTCGATTCGTAATAACATACTCAACAATAAAGCTCATATCGCCTTTCTTCCTAAACTTGAAAATGAGCGACTTATGGGCAAATATTTATCTCTTTCACTAGTTCAAAAATTGTCTTTGTTTTGGCAAATATGGAGCTATAAAATATCGAGTAAATATTCAAAAACACCGCCTTCTTGTTGAACGCATATTTGGGCCCTTCTCTTGACACTACGTGTTGCTTTCAAGACAATTCGGCCATCAATTCTATTAATTATAGTTTCAGTATAATTTTTCGGTTCATCTATATTATTATTTTATTTTGTACCCCTCATTTTTCAGAAATCCCCAAAAATAAAAATCTGGAGGTGTCTTGTCTGGTGAACGAGGAGGCCACTTAACAGACCCATTTGTAGCAATCCATCTGTTTGAAAAACAATCTCGCAACATTCTTTTTATGCCACTGAAATTATGTGCTGGTGATCGATTCTGCTGAAAATAGATCATCTAAAGAGCATCCAGATCAAGATCATCAAAAAATTATTTCAACACTCTTGTTAATAAATTAATGTAACGGGGTCCCTTCAAAGAACGGACTTAGCTACTTAATTTATGAAACTGAATTAAGTATGCCTTCAGTTTGGTTACACCTGAGATGTTGATTAACGTTGGAAGAAATTTCTAATCAACATTTGGATGTTGCTTAGAGTTGCTTTTGAAAAAACAATTAAAGCACTTAATACTTCCAAAGCAATTGAAGATAGGTATAGGTGTATAGGACATCGTTAATTAATCCACAAAATGAAAGTTGGTTTTGTGTTATATGATACACTTTGTATATAAAGATTTTGCTGAAAACAATGCGAGAATAAAATGAAAATAATGCGAGAATAAAATGAAAACAATGCGAGAATAAAAATACCAATCGACGTGCCCGAGCTTCAACAAAAAACTAATTTATTCCATTAAGCTGATACACTTTGTATTTCACATATTTACTCACTTCCAATTGTTGTACCGATTCTTCCCCAAGACCTAAACAGCCAATATCTATTCCCGGCATCTGCCTCTAGCAATTGTAACTTGTAATAACTATTTTTCTTCGACTGAATGTCAGTGAGTCCCAAGACAACAGTAAATTTATCCGAGCCTTCTTGGTAAACGTGAGCAACAGATTCCAATTCAGAAGCAGGATCAACAGCTGTGCCGCCTTTCAATTTTAGCTTGACTTTGCTAGGTACAGATTTGGTATAGATGCTACGTGACTTAGATTTTTGACTAGTAGATGGCTCTGCAGGAAGTCGTGCATTTGGCTGTGAAAAAATTTTAGCAAATTCTGTACTGATTGATACTCTTTAAGAAGGACAAAACTGCTTTGACAGTAACGATAATAATGACATTGAATTATGCGATATCAATTCGTTATTATAATAATATTATAGCCATATCAATACATAAAGTAAAAAAAAACATTGATATAACTTACAATTGAAATTACATTATACTTAAAAAAAAACTTTACAAAATACAAAAAAGCACTTTTGTTCTGGCAGTACAAAGAAATATTTTCAGTGTTTTTTGTGAAGGGTAAACGGTAAGTTCCAAAATTGAGATGGCAAGCTGTTATGTGGAATAAAAAAAACTCCAACCTAACAAAGATAAAAGACATTTTTCAGTTTTTTTAAAAATTTTCCAACATCTCTACACACTTCTCCCAGTGATGCTCCCATAAAAACATCAACTGTACCATCAATAAAGAAAATGTCGAAAGTCTGCCCAATTTTTAAAAAAGGAGATAAAAGTGAGATACAAAATTACAGACTAATCTCTACCATATGCAACTTTTGTGAAGTGTTTGAGATGCTTCTTTAGAAGACAATCTATTGTTATGTCAGATACATTACAACCATAAGCAGTACGTCCAACCAAATGGCCTCAAGTCTATCGAATATATAGCCACATCTGGTGTACCACAAGGAGCAAATCTAGGACCCCTACTATTCAATATGTTCATTAATGATATCGGAGCTGAGATTGATGTCAATTTCTTTTTATACGCAGATGACTTGAAACTCTATCACAATATAACATGTTCTAATGATTGCGAACGTCTCACCCTGAATTTAAATCGCGTTGCTACATGGTGTCGAAAGAATAATCTATCTCTGAACATATCCAAATGTAGTATAATGTCTTACTCACTGAAAATCAACCTGAATTTACACAACTACGTCATGAACAATCAAGTGACACACTCACTGATCTAGGTGTTACTTTTGATTCATCCCTGTCTTTCAATAAACATATTGACACTACTCTAACAGTGGCTTTTATCACATGTATGGATTCTTAGTTAGAAATACCTGATATTTATATGAACCTGGTAGTAGGGACTCGTGTAGAGTCCCTACTATCAGGTTCATATAAATCAACTAAAACCCTTACAGAGGCGCTTCCTAAAATGTCTTTTTAACTTGAAGGCACATATCCTACTGTAGGAATACCCTATTATGAATTGCTTGTAACTCACAATTTTTGTAGTCTAGAGGTAAGGCGTAAATATTATTATTTTTTTTTTATACAAGGTCATAAACAATATCATCACCTGCTCTCAACTGTTACATATGATGAATTTTTGGGTTCCTAGACGATTATCTAGGATTAGTGTCACATTTCATCTCAACACTCCTCATACAAATATAATGAAAAAATCTCCAATTTATACAATGTGGGATACCTCTAACTCTGTTAGTCATGTCCTAGATATATTCAACTGCTAGATTATACAAATCAAAAAACATTTCTTAGCTAACTGACAGATCTGTTTTTATTTTTTTTTTATATAGATTCACTAATTATATTATGTAAGTACATATTTGTAAATGCCACTGTTACTCCCTATTCTGTAATTGGGTTCATCCTGTAGAATAGTGTATGAAATAAATAAATAAATAAATAAATATCTGCAAAATAATTGTTCACGAAGGTAATTGCCTCTTCATTTGACGAAAATTTATGTCCTCCGAGCGCAGTTTTTATATGAGGAAACAAAAATTCGCTGGGGGCTAGATCTGATTAGTAAGGTGTAAAGTCAAATAGTTCACCGTAATTCGTGGATTTTCGCCATGACAGCCGCTGAGGTGTGAGACGGTTCGTCATATCTTAGACGTGATTTTGAAAACGTCGAAATAATTTGCTTTAAAATTGTATGTTATTCACCACAAAAAAGCTACTGAGAGCAGTAGTGTAGTTTGTGAAATTAGAAGAATGTTGATATTAACTGTTTCAAAGTCTTTTGGCAAATCAAATGATGATATGTAAACATACAGTTTTCAATTCTAACTGAATTAGGGTTCTTGATAGATAAAAAGCTAGACAGATACTTATTTTGACAATCGTAATCCATAAGTTTTTCGAAAATAGAAATTTTTCTTCATTATCTTAAATTTTTGCTATTAAACAGTATGCCTTGTGATGAATAAATAAAAGGAACATACTCGATGATAAACATTTACGGAATAATGAAAATACTCACATCCGATCCCCAGTTGCATATGCTTTTCTTTATGATCAAATCAGGAATTTTCCCAACATTATTCTTCGCTTCATCTAGAAAATCTTCTCCAACAACTTGTATATCCTCTGACTCGGCCTCCAACATCCTATAATTCATTTTCTCTACTTGTTCCGGAGTGGAAATTATTGCCATTATAGCTTTTGATATTTTTGTAATAACTTTTCCGCCCATGGAAATGATTTCCTTTTTAATAACATCTGCTCCTTTCGGTGGATTTCCAAGTATAACGAACTGCATCTCGTATAAGGGTGGCAATTCCCTTTTCACACGTGGCCTTAAATAGTCACAATTCATAAAATGTCTGAACTTGGAAAAAAAATACATGATAGAGAAGCAAAAAGACAAATTTTTTTCCAAAAACTAATCTCTCCTAAAAATATCCTCCATACATGGTATGAAGTTTGCAATATGGCAAGGATTACGAACCGAACGAGTGCAAAGAAGGCTTGAATATGTTGCATACTATACTTTTTTTACGACTCAATCAAAATTTGAAACAATGATAGTATTATTAAATTTTAAACTTCAAGAATCATTCCTATAATAATTATTCTCAATTGATAATGCACAATTATCACAGTAAAACTCCTGTTAATTGAATTGAACATATATAATTCATCCTCTTATAAGGCACAGGCACCGCTCTTAGAGCGCTTTAAGGATTTTCCTGTAGTGCTCGTGTTTTGTCCTTAAAAAAAGTAAAATTATCTGGAAATTATAATCCAATTATCAACTGCAATTAACAATAACTGCAAGATTGTTAATCTGTTGGTCCATAATATTTTGCACCATGAAATATAAGTTAGAGTAGGCAGGCTCTTGTGAAAGTTGTGTGTGAAATAAATCCTATAAGAAATAAAATTTCGCACACCAGTGCGTGAAAATATACTTTACCTACAAATATTTATGCGCGAAAAAGATATATAGGATATTTACGTTAAGAAGAGAATGACGTCATTTTTGGTAATTTTGTATATCGAACATAACAACGTTAAAATTCCCAATGAAATGCGTTCAAAAGCAATGTATCTAGTAAAAATTTCATTTTGTCAGTTGCTCAACTGATAGCAAAATTTCAGACGTTGCCGAATCTAAAAAAACTGAAAAACTGTGAGTCTTTCTTTTCTTTTCAGAACTTATCATTTCTTTTGATAGGACCTGCGTATATTCAATATGCCTAAAGCATTGTCTAAACAGTCTCAACAAATAGTAGCGTCTTTAACAGACTACTTTGAAAGAGAATGTGAGATTGTGAATGACACTGTTATTTAAGCTGAATCAATATATTATAAATTCACGTTGTAGTAATTACCCACCACCTATATATGAAGCTGATACGCTTGCAGAAAAATATGAACATCAAGTGCTTCGTCTTCCACCGTATCACTGCATGTTTAATCCCATCGAACATATTTGAGAATCAACAAAAATTTTTTACAGGGATAATGTGAGAAGAGATGGTACTTCAGCTGACAAATCCTGGGCTATATGGAAAGAAGCTTTAGACAAAGCTACACCTGAAACTATTCGACATACCGAACAAAACATAAAACTATATTGGGATAGAGAAATAGAGAAGTTGGGTTTTACAGGAAAATGTTCAGCCTCTTATAATAAATTTCGATTCCGATGATGATTATGTCGATGATGATGACGAGTTGTAATTAAAAAATATATACAATTAAACGAATTTAAATAAAATATTTTATTCTTCATTATATATTATGAAAAAAAAAGGTGAAATGCCACTCTAATTGTATTTTAACTGAGTAAGTTAATAGTAAGTAAGGTTAATAGCAATAAAACAGTTCGAAATAGTGCACATGTTGGCAACGCCGTAACTTGTCATCTTGTGACGTCATTCTCTTCTTAACGTGAATATACTATATTTCTTTAGAGAGAAATTTTGAATAAAAACAAATTTGGCAAATTCCTCTCTAATCTAATAAAGTCTAAGAGATATGTTTCAAGTTGAAACTTACTCAGCATTATCTTCTTCCTTTTTAACTACGCCACTATTACTAGGAACAACTTCTTTGATAACTCTCTTTCTGGGAACATACTTATATTTTTTCAAGAAAGAATACTCATTGGCCAAACTCTCTGGTACTTTGAAAGGTTTACGTTTCGGTTCCTTGGACACAGCAGTGCATTTAGTCCATTCAGTCAGATCTCCAGTACAAATATAACCACCTTTCGAAAATACTAGTTGACCTCCTTTGCAAGTCTTACAGGGGGTCAAAGCGCCAAAAGTCATAATATCGGCCAATCGATCTAATATCTAAAATAGAAATGAGAGTGTTAGTAAGAAAATTCGTACCAAAATTAAGCAAAAACATTCCTGCTGATGTATAACAACAAGCATACGACACCTCTTTAAAAAAACCCTCATTTCAATGTAGTTATCAGAATTTTTGTGGTAAACAAACAATTATCAATTTCTTTTCACACATAAATTATATTATTTTTTAAGCTGATGATACTTAGTGTTGTTTAGAAAAACATATCTCTACCTTAAAAGCAAACTGTTATGTTTCTCATAGGTTTTAATTGAGTAACACCCTTTCTAACACTACTATAGGTTCACAGGAACTTTCAACCTATTTGGGTGTTATTCGCATAAAGATGAGAACGAATATTTTAAAAGAAGTTCGATAGTTTGAAGTGTAAATTGAAAATAACGACGGTCCAAAAATGGAACCTTGAGGGACTCCTTAGTGAAGTGACACGTATTCAGAGTATCTGTCATCCTTATTCATTGCTCTCTTCAAATCAATTCAGTGGTTTGAGTGAAATTGAAGTTAGTGGTGTTAAGAAGAAGTTTGGTATCAATTGTATTGAAGGCCCTACTGAAATCAAGTGGAACTAATGTAGTACATAACCCTGATTAGTTGCTCTGAATATGTCATCCCTGATATGAACGGCTATAGTAGAGTTAAAACTTTTATGAACTCCTAACTGAATATATTGTACAGAATAATTGTTCAAATGACTGTTCATTTGAGTTTCCTATGCTGTCTATATCATTTAAGATGGAATGGGTGGTGAATGAGATTCAACATAGCTGTCGGTGAGAAGTTTATTAAAAACCTCTCTAAAAAAATCTTTCAAATGTTGTGCAAAACAACAAGTCTTAGTTTGAGTGTACATTACTTTTGATAATGTTTTCCACAAAAGTGTTGTGAAGAACTATTATTTGTTGTAAAATGACCAGTCCCCATAAAAACAGCACTGAAAAAAAAAGAGATAAACAAAAAGGAAAATCACAAATAAAATCAAATGAGACAGAGGTTTCTTACACTAGTTTATTATTTGAGGAAAGCAGTTGTCCAACAAAACCATATCTCACGAAGGATGATGTATTTTCTGAATTTGTAAATCAAGTTCAAGAGAAACTCAAACTCATTACATGTATCAACATGGAAAATGATCTATTTTCAACATCTGTAAGAGAAAAGGAAGAAAGGAGGACAAGGGAAAGCCCAGGACTTGCATTATTAAAAAAAAAACAGTATGTGAGAGGAGTGCTTAAAAATGTTTTATGTAAATTTAGACTGAATCCTCATACTAAACCTAAAAAGTTGTCAACTCATTGAAAAATATTTCCCAGAAGTTAAATGTGAATCTTTCAACTCTAAAGCTCCAGTACTCCACTCATCTTTTTTAGGTGACAATATACGAGAATAATTTCGTTCACTAAACGTGAATACAAAGAATGGTGAAAAGGATAATCAACTATATATTGATTGAATTTGTTAATTCAAAAATTTGTATGCGTGAAATTGACACAGTATAACACAGGTTATAAGGTTTTGAATTAGTTAGAGCATACTGTAGATGTACTACGAATTGTGGAGAAACTGGCACATAAACACAACAAATTTCTAATGAATTCTACCGATTCATCAGAATATTGTACAGAGTAAAATTTTAAAATATGTGGTGCCTTTTTCAAAACCAAAATGTATGAGTGTTAATTTTAAATTGTTATAGGTCTCCTCTCCATACGATAATGTTGATGTATTTTTAAATAGGTTGTGTGAAGTGTTGGACTTTTTTTCATTCCACTCTTTTGGAAACGGCATTTTACTAATTCGAATAGAAATATCAAGAGATGACTTATAGAAACTCTGACTGCTCTCTCCTATACTGACATTCTCTATTTATACAAATTAACATCATGTGAAAGTATAGTGGGATAACTTCTCCTTCTCTACCACTCAAAACGATTCAAGTGATAAGTGGGAGTGGTACCACCACCACTACCTATACAATTATATAAGTCGATTTGCGACCCTGAAGTTCATTCATTCACTCTACAACTGTGAGAAAACATCAAGATGAATACTCAAAAATAGTTGCTGCATTAAACAGAATATCTACAGTGGAATTTATTGTCTGTGATTTTAGTTTTGACAGATATAAAAATGTCAACAATCAATACATATATAATAAAAGTGTAAATGAATATTACTGTTCTTCAAGGGAAAGATTATATTTTCCTGTTGCCGTGCGTCTTATTCTCAAAAACGGCATAACCGATTTTGGGTGAAGTTTTCGTTTATGTGTTGTGGTCAGCTTCACATAAAATTTCTAACGGTACATAAGAAAAAAAGTTATGTCAATTTAAAGAATCACGTAAAAAATTCGTTGAAAAAAAAATACTAAATTCAAGGTAATCAAAGATGGCAAATACATAAGAACTATTTGCTGCTAGAAAATGGAAATAACCCAAAAAGTGAAGTCCATGCAGTCACTGGAAATGCTAGTTCATATATATCTTGCAGATATATCTCAATTTCGAGAATTACCTCCAAAAATATTCAAATCCAAATTGAAATGTATTTTATCTAGTAACTGTATTTACAACTTCCAAGAATTTACTCAGTTGATCGCTGAAAATCGGCATTTGTTCATGGATAATCACAGTGATTGAATATAACTTCCCATTTTATTGTTACAGTATATATCCATATATTATCAATATTTCATTCATTTGACATTCTATACATTAACATTATATATTTTTTTACATTTTATACATCATACTTCATATATTTTACACATTTACGTTTTATATATAATTCATACATTTTACATTTTATATATTCATATTTAGTCATCCCCTAAAATGTATTTTATCTTGTATGTAGATCATATATGTTTTTTCATTCTTCAATATCCCATATCACAATCATTGTCAACCTCGATTATATTCCCAGGACTACAAATTATTCTATCATCTACCTTTAGTTATTTGGATCAAGGTTTGGACGTGTCTATAAAATGTAAAATTTTCTTGAGGCAAATAAAAATGAAATGAAATTTATTCTACAGTTTTCCAGGAAATATGAATTTTTAGAGCTTACAGCCCACGTTTGACACTTAAAATTCGAAAATGCTTTATTATAGTATCAAAAAGTGATTCGGAGGTAGTTGATCATCAGTATTCTATTGAGCTTAAGCATTTGAAATATCTAAAATTTGTTTATTTCTCACCAAAAAAAATGTATTATTAATAAGTCTTCATTACATACACTCAAAATTTGCAATTCCACCCATTAAGTAAAAAACAGCCATGCAATCTGGCGTTCAAAGTTTTTAATGACCAACATGTTTATTTAAACATTTTTTCAAATGACTTTTACAATTGTTCAAAGTTAACACACACAACAATTGATTCATCATACTTAAATAGGATTATACAATGAACTGCCAAATACAATAACCAATATGACAAACTGGAATTCAAAATAAATTGAAAAAACGCTTTAATGTTATTTCAACTGGTGATAGTTCTGAATGCATTACTAGTAATCATGTTTTAAATTTTCTATCTGGAATATTTATTCTAATTTCTAAGCAACTTCGCATTACACTAAATTATTATACAAAAGTATACTCCTGGAGTAAAGTGGATTTCATTTCTGGAGCTATAATTATGAGTTGCTTCAAATGTGCTTGATTTTATTATTGAGTGAATGTTGTTTCCAGAAAAATTATGTATGAAAATACAAATCTGATAAACTGCTAGTTAGCAGTTTATCAGATTTGTATTTTCTGCTGCCAGCAGTGATAAACTGCTGGTTGGTTTGCAGAGAAGGCTAATTGTACAATTTCGAATATTTCTCATATAGTTCTGTTTTAAAGAACTTGTAGCAGCTTCATTTCATTATAGGAAGTTTCATTACAAATCAGAGTCAATATTAATGAGTTATAGGGTGGTTTTCTGTGTGTAAGTGGTAGACATTTCGCTATTAAACCCAGTATAGCAACACCGGAAGAAATTTTCTTACCCAGATAATCAATGTGGCATTCCTAGTTACGTTTCGTAGTTAGGTAGCAACATAAAGTGGCTGAATTCAATAGTATGCTTCACAGATTATTGAATATTCCACTGTCTGATAGTAATTTCCAGAGAGAGCCGAGTTTGATCAAACAAATCGCGGTCAACAATAAGGTAGATTTTGTAGACTCCGTTCTTTCAAAAAACTACAAAAGCAAGCCATAGACCAGATCCACCTAAATTCAAGATGTGATAACATCAGTTATAGGACATTATCATATTTGGGTGAACCCATCAATAATATTGCCGGTTTTTTAAAGAAAGAATGCGTAAACGTAGCTTACAGAACGAATAATAGTCTAAGTAAATTTATTAAAAACAATTAAGACAAAACTTCGGTGTCGGATAGATCAGGAGTATATAAGCTGACTTGTGGATCTTGCCCAAAACTGTATATTGGCCAAACAGGGGGAACACTTTCCCAAAGAATTAAAGAGCATAGAAGTAGTTTTGTAAATAGAAAGACCAATTCCACATTTGCAAACCACCTTTAAGCAGAACGACATGGAGTTCAATCATGAATTTGACGTGTTACATTTTGAAGAGAAAAGTTTGAAACTTAATCTTCTAGAATGTTTGGAAATCAATAGAGTCAAGATTTCAGGTACTTTACTGAGTGATCAATGAGAATTGAATAATTTCCTATTACTAAATATTTTTTCAAATGTGGAAACTGATAAATAACGTCAGGTAATATGATTCATTACAAACTCAGGTACACATGAAACATTAAAGGACCAAGTAAAACCCAGGTACTTGAAATTTAGGTACTTCAAATTGTAAAATTGGGTAAATAAAGCATTGACTATGTAGAATATAATAGTTTGTAAAGAAACGCATGAAGAAGCCACTGTATGGCGAAATTTGTGTTGCGTTTTTGTAAAACTGTTTGGTGAAAATCTCACGATAAAGGGTTCTTTGAATACGTTAGTTATGGATTTTCAGTATCGGCCAATGCCTAATGCCATCATATATACAAATAATTTGACTTTTGACTACCAAGAGTTAACTTATAGTATTTCAACCACTACTCTATTTCAGGTTTATTTTGTTGACTATTAATTCCATAATAAAGCAGACAAGTATCTTTTAGCATAGAGCTGAAGTATTCGTTTCAAGGAAAGCCGAGAAATTAGGTTTATGTAAATTGGAAACTGTTGTACTGAGAATAGAGCCCTCGGGAACTTCCAATAACATATAGATCACATTGACTTATATAAGAGAGATCCAAGAGTTCTCTAATCAAAAGCCAGAAAGTGTTTATCTTTTTAGTTGATACATTATACAGAGCATAAATTATACAGATCTTTCAGATGAAATTCAACTTTCTTATGCTTTGAAAACAAATCATTATTTTCTGACGCCTAGTGCATTGATTTTATTAAAAGGGTGGATTATAAAGAATATACTTTTTCTTGTATTTGTCACTACCATTTTTAGAATTTCAATATATATCACGTATATCTTGAAAAATGTATGATTTCTTTCCACCAAATATTTTAATTTGAAAAGAGAACACTTAGATTTATTATTGGCAATGCTACACAATCTCATGAAGTGTTACTGTAAATGATATCTGTTTCAATTACATTATAAATATTTGAAGAACAGATTGAATGAGAACAAATTTGTTCAGTGACATTCAACGTTCATATTTGAAAGTAGCTGTTTCCAAAGGGTTTTTTCTTTCAGTTTGTATCTAAAATAAACATGTACTTGATATACACATTTTTGTAAAGGGCTTTCCATGAAGTTAATTACTTTTTTTCATCCCTTAAGAAATTTCGCACATTTTCTTGTAGAATGAAAGAGAAGTAGAAAGCCAAAAATAATTTCCAAAAATTTTATTCATGAAGAATGAATAAACATCCAAAGAGCCACTTTGAAAAACAATATAACAAAATTTTAAAATTGCAAAAAATTACAATACTTAATATGAACTAAAAAATAATGACATAATATTTAAAAAAGCGCAACACTGTATACAAGTAGACTAAAAAACGAAATTATTTTCTTTATCAAAATGTATCATTAACTTCAGCTCTCGTCAGGTCTTCAGATATTATATCTGAGTTGCCATTGTGGATCTGCATTTCTAAATGAAATAAAATTTTATTGATCTCATAACGAGCGATGGTTTGCAACTGTGAATTATTTAATTTTCGCAATTGATATCCAACAAATTCCCCAAAAACAGTGAACTCATCACGAATATTCAACTGATCTTCGTTCCGGGATATATTATTATCAGCTTGTGGATTCTTTGTTTCCTGAACTGGGGCCGGCGATAGTAGGAATGTATTGCGGTTTCCTGAAGTTGTTGGAACAGATATATTTCCAGAAATCTAGGAAAAAAATCAACGTCAATAATCTTTATCACTGTACAATCTGACTTACAGTGTCGGGAAGCCCATTAATTTGATACCCATATCATAAAAACTAGTCCGCCATCTTGCGTGGTCAGCCATATTGGATTTATTGTGGAGGTGCATAAAGAATTAGTCTGTCATCTTGGGCAAACTCAGTTACAAGATTCGACACAAACTAATATGCATACATGGGAGCATTGAAAATCAAATAAAAGCTCGTAAAAACCTTTTTGAAGGTAGAAATAAATGAATTTATATATTCAAGTAACATTTTATTGCGAGATTTTTGCGCAACACGTGTTTCACTATACAATATCTTCCTCAGGCATGGTACTAGCAGTATGATCATGTCGTAACTAACGGATTGAAAATCAACACAGAAGATGCTCTTAATGAATGTCCAGCAAAAAATTTCACTAATAATGATCAACATGACAAGAAATGAACGTTTGCCTTATTTTTAATCAGATCAAGAACAAGAGACCGCTGGTTATCAAGGTGAGTTCTGCTACAATTGAACAAATAAAAAACTTGGAAAACTAGGAACTTACAATGAGTGAAAACAGTTACCCTCAAGAGCGCTGCAAAATGGATTAATCGATGAGAGATTATGAAATACAAAACTATGTAGACCATACAGTCGATACAATAGAAAATATCCAGAAGTTGAATAGTAGTAATAAAGAAGCAATCTTTGTTTACGTCATGATCATGATCACAATTAGTCATAATTATTGTCCGAAAATACCTCAATCAGAAACAGCTATTCAATATAAACTTCCAGTTTCAATAAATAGGTTAACCCAAATTCTATTTTATTCAGAAGATCGAAATTGACCAACACTTTCTTGAAGTTCTGCAAATGCCAAGTTCAGAGATATTATTATTATAATACTTATTACTTTATGAATTGTCGACATGAAATTTGTGGAAGATGTTTAGTAGTTAAAAAAAAAATATATATATATAACCCTTTCAAATCATGTTTAGTAGAATATTGCATAATAACTTTCTGAAAAAACTAAATAGAATTTTCAAAAAATAAATACTCTTTTCTAGTTTGAACAAAAACTAATTAATGTTGAAACCAAATTCTTTGTTTTTATTTCTATGACTTAGAATATTGTCCCAACAACAACAACAATCTGATTGAGTATATAACGAGTTAAAACAAGTTCAACAAAACAAATCTTGATTGTCAATTCATAGTTTGACAACAGTAACTAAGTCTGATCTGCCAAATATCCTCAAGTGGTGAAGAACGTATATTGTCGAGGAAGAAATTGAGGAGATTAACTAACTTGCATAATCCACAAGTTTATTGACTCTTGCAAATCTTTTTTTCCCACCAAGATATTTGGTTCATACCAGCCTATCAAGAACTAGTACAACACACCATATTCTCAAGAACATTACATCATATTTGAGAGAAACCTAGATTTGTTAATTTATATGTCAATTATTGTATAAAGGAATAATTGACTCATTAATTTATTTTCTTTATCGTGCTTCAATCAACTTGTCAATACAAGTCCTTCTCGAGAGATATACTTATTTTTTTAACAATCATCCTATTACATAAACGAATTTGGGTTTTGATTAATCTGTATTTTGACTTGATTTCAAACTTGGCATGTGAGTTGTTACGTCACTTTTGAAGTACTTCAATTTAATTCTATTGTGGTCTATTATCTGTCAATTTCATTATTAGTTTTACTCGTTGCTTTTGTATTATATTTAAATTTCATGCAGACATTTTGTCAACTGACCTTCCTATATGTTTATGACGACAGTTGACATCAAATACAAGAGGATAACTTGTATCGGTATAAGTGACAACTTGAAATGGTTCAATGCAATACTTTAATGTGTGATAATTTTTTTATTGTAGAAGTGAAATAAAAACATTTTCACTTACCACATCTTTGCCTGATGGAATTTCCTGATTGTTATGTTCCAGTAAATATCCCAATTCTTTATAGTCCAGTTTTTCCAATTTATCACGGTGTTTGAATAAAATTTTACATTGTTCTCGATATTCTTTCTCAATTGGATCTGAAACTGGGTCCTCAATCTTAATTTTTTTCTCCTCTGGAATGTCTTCTTGCTTAATAGCACTGCAATGATACCCAAGTGAAGTTACGAAATCAATTCAACTTAAATCAAAAATAAGCATGAACAATGCAACTTTGTTTCATAATTCATCTCCATTACAGATTCAAATTCCTTAAAAAGTGGATCAAAAACCACTAGAATAAAAAGTATATTATAGTTCATTTTCAAAAGTGGCACAATAACATTATCATGCCAAACCCTCACAGGATGCTTCACATTAATTATCTTCATTTCTACCTATTCTCTCCTGGTATGAGTATTTTTGTATTGACGAAGGTGGGTTGAGAAAGTGAAGAAAATTATAAGGGGAGAATCGTCGAATCATTATTAGAGAAGTTGCGGATGTTGACATATCAGTTGGCTCCAAGCGTCCCAATGGTGAACCTGAACCTGAAGAAGCTATAGTATAGTGAAACGTGGTTTTCGGATTTGTGAACTGATACTTGAATGACTTATTATTATTACCATCAACTCGATTCATGTAGGAATATGTATACGTGGTGCACTTTTAATTACTTTGAAAATGTCAGTAATGTATATCGTCTTTTTTTAAAAACTGTCCTATATATGTATTTTATTTATGCTTAATTAGTTTTTAAGTAAATTGGTATATATTAGGATTCCTATTTCAAATGAAGATTTATCTATTGTATTTACAGACCAACAACCCCTTTCACATATGCACATACTGACATAAAAAGTCACTGTACTGTTACCATTTCCTTTCATCCATTTTCATTTTATTTATTCTTTCATATATCTCAAATCTGATAACACTTTTTTAGACAATGGAAGTCCAAATTTGAAACATTTGAATAAATTTTGTCTCTTTATGATACTAGTTTCAAACTAAAATGGATGTCAGAAAACCGTGTAGAAAATATCGATGAAATTGCATGCAATCTGACTATAACCATATCTTTCCAGAATTGCTAGTTTATGCGAGTTGAGTAGATATTCGAATAATGAATACTTCAATTTCAATCAGAAACTGCTCTTTAGTCTTAGTGCTTGGATAGTCCATAAAGTGGACTTTATGTCTGCGAGAAGAAATAAAATACACTAACATGTACAGCTGCCAGACTGAGTCATGGCCGGTGAGAAGCCCCTCCCTCAATACAATAAGTATTTATGTACGATTTCTCCCACTGGCCATGACTCAGTCCGAAAGCTGTAGTTGGTACCTAAACCGTGAAAACCATAATGAATTGTTTCAACAAAAGAAATCAGTTCAAAATTCCATATTGTTAGACTGTTCATGAGAAAGTTTAAGAAACATGAGACCCTGGTCTTGGTCAACGCAAGGAAGGTTTATGGACTAGAATAACGAAAATTTTCTAATATTCCTTACACAACTTGTTTCTTCACATTTTTCTGGTCCTCCTGTTTCAGTGACTTGAATCCTGGCAACTTATCTCCAGATTCAAAATATCCCAAGTCAGATCTCACTTGTGCAAAACATGTCACATGGTGCCACAAGTCTTGGCCTCCATATTTACGTCCAACTTCAGTATCAAAATCTTTTTTAGAAATGCGTACCTGAAAATAATTCCATCAATTAGAAAAAAAATAAATAAGTTACTGAAAAATACCTCATCTTTCAGAATTTTCTGTTCACAGCCTCGACATAAGGCTCTTCCAGATTTGGCATATTCAATGGTAAAATCCTTAAGTGCTTCTTTTTTCAACTGGGCATCTGGGCCACCTGCTCTCTTTTTACCTTTCTTGTCTGGTACTATTGCCACTGTTGCTATACCAACTCGAGCTTTTATTCTGTCCTGATCTTCTACTCTCAGGGATTCATAATGATCAATATCGTCGGTGGTTTTTGGTCTTTGTTTATTGAAGAAACAATCAAAATGATGCCAGTTCGGATTTTTTCCATCATGAAACGGGGACTGAAAGAAAATGTATCTATCTGAATACATCCAATTGAAAATAATGACTAATCCCAATTATCTCCGAGTATAGTGTTGTGAACCAATCTGAAAGTACTTTCTTGTAATAAAATCATTCTGGGCTTCTAGAAGCTTTCTTTCAAGAATACTATTCTGGATTTATACATTTTCTGGCGCCTATCAAAAGTCCTAATAGTACCTGCACTTTTAGTTATTTCAAAAGGTAAATAGTCAATGGATATCTAAACGTAATTTAGAGTGCAGTGTGAAAAATTGGATTTTAAGCGATTCCATAGCTCAGATGACTCGCCACGAGTGCGTGATATAGAATTTTAAGATCAGAGTATGTCAGTATTTTCAACAAATATTTGAATTTGTATAGTATACAACGTAACTTATTACAGATATATTGAATATGTTCCTTCCACTTGAGATGTGAGTCAATTATCACACCTAGATATTTCACTTTTGATTCGGAAAGTATTACATGTTGTCCAATCTTCAGTTGTGAAAAAGAAGGATTACTTCAATTACATTCCTTTATAACTAATAATTGAAGTTAATTTTGATTTCTTTAAACTTCATTTCATAATGTTACGGCTTATCATACAACAATTTTACTTTTAATTCAATAATAAGGAATGAAAATGATTCATTGAGTCATTCATACAATTTAACAAATTTTCCTTCAAAATATTGACTTGTATAGATTTAAAAAAAATTGAAATGGCAAATGTTTGGTAAAAGTTGGGCGATGAAACAATACACATGCATCATCAAAGTTTTAAAAAAATTAAATGTTTTTCCGTTAACCACCTGTTGCACCCCTACAAACCACAACCCTCAGAAGTCGCAAGACAATAAGGCAAGTGTCTTATTGTGAAACATAAAATGTTGGCTGTTGAGGATGACAGTGTTCCATGTAAGTGATATTTTACCTCTTTAATTTACTATATTGTGTAGCAATCCTATGAACGATATCTGATTCAATTCCACAACAAATGTTTGAAATACAAACTGAACAGGAAAAAGTTTTTTTATAATTCAATGTTCATATTAGAGTAGTTGTTTCGAAACCTTTTTTTTGTGTAATTCAATGTTTATATGAAAGTAGTTGTATTGATAGGTTTTTCTTACAATTTGTGTCTGAAATTTACTTCCATGCATGAACAACTCATCTTCGTATACAATTTATTTTGGAAGATTTCTTCATTATTAATATAAAGATGAAGAAGGCCAAAAGTTTTCCTTCCCAAAAATTAATCTCTCCTAAAAATATACTACTTTCAACTCAAACCAATTAACCATATATCCAATCCTCTGGACTAGGTTGGTCCCAGTTAATAAGAATAATTTGATCTCAAACTTTATTTTCAAAAAATATATCACATGTTTCGCTATCACAGTAGCTTTTTCACTGAGATAGCGAAACATGTGATATATTTTTTGAAAATAAACTTTGTGAAGATCAAAGCATAAGGTGTAGTTTATGAAATTACTATGGATCTTCATCAAGAAACAGCCGAATCAATCAGAAAAAAAAAATTATTATATTTTACTTTCCAAAATTTACTATAACAGTGAAATGCTTCAACCTAGCATGGTCAATATTACCTAAGAACTTAGATCACAGTTTATCATGAATACATTTAAATAGTTTCGATGCTAAGATGAACAAGTAAATTGAAAATTTAGTTTTGTTATAGATCCAAGGGAGACTATAAATGAAGCAAGCTGTGGCAAATAAAGTGCAGGATTAAATCAAAGTAGTTTATAGTTGAAACTCATAGGATTAACTTCAATAGGGTTCCCTGTATTGCAAAAGTTCAATACAACTTTAAGAACTATCAATTTCAATTGATATTCCCTCGCAATGATATTTGAGGAATATTTACTAATTATAGAGTGGAATATTATCAAAATCGTAAATATATAATGAAGATTAAAAAGTGATGTTGGCAAAATAAATTGTATTATATGCATCTCAAATTTTCAACTTTTTGGCCTTTATATAATTTCAGAAGAAAGATCTAGACATATTCATCATTAAGTATAATTTTCATAAACTTTAGAAAATAAATAGAAAGTCTAGTGCTCCAGACAAAGAAAACTGTCCTTAACTGGCAGAAGAAAACACTCAGAAATGGCCAGGCACAACAAAAAATTCCAGTGACTTGCCTGGCGATCAACTTCTTAGGGAACAAATCAAAATAGTTCGTGACCTACTATCAACTGATCCTGTCTGAATTGCCAAAAATATGTGAATAAATCAACAGAGAAGTTTTCAAACAAACCAAAGATATTTTAGTAGAAAAACGTGGGCCACAAAATAGCAATTTACTAGATACACAGAAGGAATAACTTACTTAATTCAATAATTGTAAACACAACAAAGGATCTTATTATCCAATTTCTGTAAACAATATTCACAACGTTGTCTTACCTGGACCATAACGGCAAGACGCAATTCACCCTTTGAAATTGTCGATTTACAGCCTTTACAACTGGCACGGCCAGATTTTGCATATTCAGCTAAATATGGTAAATCCATTTCAACTGCTAACAACTAATGAAATATAAAATCAAGAAAGTATTTAACAATAACACCATCAACAAATCATATCATATACGGTTTCATACCACTTTTTTGACAACACAAAAACAACCTACAAAATTTGCAATCGCAGCGCGGGAATAATAATGACAGTTACAGTGTTGCCATGTTGTAATATTGCTCTCAAACATGACAGTTAGAACTTTGCTTTTGTGGTTTGGAAGGGAAAAGATCTTAACGTAAGTTTCTAGGATGCAGTTTGAAAATTTCAATTTCAAATTCAAAATTCAGATGATTCCTCCATCAAAACTTGACCCAACCTTAATTTGAAGTCTGAATTTCCGAGCTGAATGTCGAAACAATAATAATCCAAGATTAAAATCGGAAATATTGAAGAAAATAAATACTGTGACCTTTCTAGACATCACAGATTGCACCTAAAAAACAACCGCTTCCAAAATTTTTGTCAATTTCACCTCGACAGCTAATGATACCAATCACTATATACTAAAAGTGTATCGATACAATCGATTCAATTTTCATTGATATTCCAAACATTTTGTTTCAAGTATATTCCGTTTCACTTCCACTTTTAACTAGTGTCCTCACCCCGCAGTTCCACACTTCCATAGAAGAAATTTCAGTTTCTATGAAGTCCTAAAATAATGGAGCTACTGGAAGTTTTTTCCTACTTATTCGAACCTACTTATCACTGTCATAGGGGGCTGTAAAAAATAGGCACAGAAAACGTAATATTTCCTATAAATTTCAACACGAAATATCACTTTTTGCATTGTTCTTAGATATGAGCAAATTTGACCATCGTTTGTCTGCTTGTCTGATGTGAAAATAACAGGAATATTCGTAGTGCTGTTATTTCCTAACCAAATGACATCTCAACCATTGCTCAATGCTAAGGGCTAAGGTTTGTGTACCGTACAGAACACAGATTACCGCAGTAGTAGTATAAGATTTTCAGAAGATGTATGACTCTGAGCCCATAAGTTATTTCTAAGGGAACCTCGAGATACCAACGTCCTGTCTTTGTAGCAATGCCTTGTCAAGAAAGTGTGAAACTCTCTTTCATGGAACCAGAAGTAAATATCAAACTAAAATGCAACCTTGAGTCTACAGAGAATATGGATATCGACTCCAATGACCTCCCTGTACCACTGGATCGAGAGGGTTAGCTTCTCAACTCTATTACTTCTCCTCTGGTATCTGCCATGTGGTTGGTATATGTATCATTTCAGAACATACCGAAATTTCAAGAGTAAATAAAGTCTTAATTTCGGGATGAAAGTCCAAATTCGAGATGATAGTCGAAATTTCATTATATTGCAAAAAAATATGGCACTGTCTTCCGATAGTAAAAGTCTCTTCATATGATTATTCAGACTACAGTTACCTGTAACTAGGCCTGTTAAAAAACACAGTTCAGTTCATCACTAACCATTGTTTGATATTATATTTCTAAAGATGTATAAATGTTTTGGAATTGGCCAATTCTTAAAGAGTTTGCTAGAAATCTGAAACTTTTGTAGCAGTTCAGGTATTCAGTGTTTGTTTTGCATAATCTAAAGCGATGTAAATCACAGATTTTATTTCGATAAAACTTTTCTTCACAAGACAGGTCGCAGCTTCATTACCTTACAGGCCAGAGTGGCGAAGAATCCAGATCAGGAATATTTTCTGACAGTTCATTACCAATCTAGAAATCACTAGGTAAGAGCCAAGTACCCCTAGACCCACTTGGCTATTCGAGAATATTTTTATCAATTCAAGTGTAAAATTTGTTTCTGCCAGTCTGAACCACACACAAATCAATAGCGTAGATTTCCGCTTGAGATATGGTCGCATATGTCCCTAGCCAGGTTGATAATTCCAGTTCTGGGTCTGCGATTGCATATATATATATATATA